TTTTTTTTTTTTTTTAAAAGCACATTTTAGACCATAAGTCTTTTTAAAAACCCTAAAACAAAAACAATTGTTCAGTTCGGGTAGCTAAGTTTGCTCAGCTGTACCAGATAATCTGCACAAATGTGGTGTTTCTGTCGCAGTGGTCATAGTAGAGGTGTTTGATTCACACACCTGCCATGCTGGGTTAGATCCCTGCAGCACCAGCTGCATGTGACACCCTGGGAGGAGAACATGTTGGTATCTCCCAATCACCCTCCCATAATGGCCTTTTTCATTTATTCAGCGTGTATTTTTTGAACATGAATACAGAAACTAATCTCCAGCCGAGAGATTCAGACTCATCAGTGTTTGGCTTCATTTCTCTTTTTTAATAGTTTGGATGATTCATTTCATAAAGGCTGATAATGTAATTGCAGCCCTTCTGGGGTTTTAGAGAGCTCGCCCTATAGAGGCAGCGGCTGTGGCGAGAGAGGTGAAACAAAACAAAGACCACCTTGAGAGGCAATTAGCGGCACTTTGCCATCATTTGGATCATTTCCACTCCAGTTGATGCCACTCTGCAGCTGATCTTCTGCTAAAGGAAAGAAATGGTCACAAACAAGGCAGCAGTGAGGGGCAGTGAGGAAAGATGACGTGTGTGTATGTGTGTGCGCATGCCTCATCCCACCTTTGGTGTAACTCTGTCGAAATACTTAATAGAAATCTTTAAAGCCACATGTACAGCATCTCCTCTCAAACCTCTTACGCTCCATCGCGACTTCATTAATGTAACAAAGCACAAAGCATGTTTATCTGGGCCTCGTCAGCAGTCATCAGGCTGCTGGGGAAGATCCTCTTTACTGAGCCCATCCTGAAATGTACGAGTTCGTTGGCATCTGCACACGGAAAACCGACTTTTATCCAGCTTTGGGTATCTGTGGCCTAATGAAGCAGCTTATATTCTCTATTTTTGGTTGACCGCACTGTACTTTCTCCACTTTCACCACCACGCTCCGTCTTACTTTTGTAACCCCCCCCACCCAAAACAGCACCCCTCCACCCCCACCCCCCTTCATTTAATTTTATTCTTTGTGGTTTTTCCCAGCTTCGATTCTCAGATGGTTGGTTCTGATTTGTATGCATTTGCATAATGAATGTCATTTGCATGCTCAGGGGCAGACCATACCATGAGAACGGCTGTGTTGTTTGTGTGTGTGTGTGTGTGTGTTCATGCATGGGCACATGTGTGCTGTGTATATTAAGCACATGTAAATGACACGTTTTTTTTTTTTTTCTTTAACGAGCAGACCAACGCAGGGTGTTGTGTTTGGCGTCCACACTGTACAAACACTTTATTCTTCCTCTGTGATGTGAGTGTGCGTCTTTGTGCGTCTATGTGTGGGAGAATTGCTCCTCTATGTGCGGTGCGTGTAGGGCAGCTATCTGCCGATCATGCCTCTTTCTCCCTCCCTACCTCTCTTGGTAACCGTTCAGCAATGCACTGACTACAAGAGTGAAAATAAGAGACTCCCTCTTCAATCCCATAATCCTCCTCTTCTCCGACCCCTCCCGTGCCAGTTTGTCCTCCTCTTCCACACGGCAAGTCACAGTCCTGCCACCATCTTAGGTGTTAAGACTGGCACAAAATGGCAGCTGAGCGGTGAACAGCCAGCGCTGCACCTTCCCCCCACTTCATGTTGGTCCCGATCGTTTCCGCGCCATTGGTCGCCTCAAGACAGTGTTAATTACTGCCAGTGCGTTAATTGTAGAGATCGCCCCAAGAGACATGCAGGAAGGGATGAGATAGGAGGAAAGCGCGCTGCCCGTGGCTTTTGACTGTCGACAAGATGGCATTTTTAGGGGCAGCTGCGGTTCCCGCGTCGCTTTTTCGCTGTGCCCGTCGTCACGCTGCAGACCGACCATTTTGCGGAAAACTCTTAGGACTGCTTTGCTTCGGCAACATTAAATTATACCAGCGCTTTTTTTTTTTTGGTGATTACAAAGAGTTATCATTTGCACCAGTGGTGGTATTTCTGCATGTGGAACATCCACGTGGTTTTTGTGCCGCGTGCACGTGCAGACAGCTTCATTTGATGATGTGAAGAAGAAGAAAAAAAACAAAAAACACCTACATGCTCCCTCACACCCTCGAGGAGCCATAATTAGCAACACAGCATTCTTCATAAATCTCACACTTAACAGTTTTCACACATGTGCAGCACATTTCCTATTTGGCTCGCAGACGAAAGCACGCTCCTTGTGGAAATTAAGACCTCAAACCCTTAAACGACACGTCACGTCGCAATTTGTCCGGATTTGATGAAAGGTCATGCTGTCTTTTCTGGCTTCACGAAGACGCATTATGATGCCAACCATTGGGTTTTGACAGGATCTGAGAAATATCTCAACCTTCAGACAAGCATTTAACCCTTGTGGTGTGAAAGCCTGACAAAGAAATGGTGTTGCTGCACCGATTATTTGAAGAAACATGCAAATTAACCTAAATAACGGACATAAATAACAAAATATCACCTCTGTTTTGTTCATTTGTTGCTCGCAAATGAAGCTCTCAGATTACGTTCATATTGGCTCCTCTGGCTTGTTATTTATTTTTAGCATTACGAGCATACAATCCATGAGCTGGTGTGTAGCCACATGAATTATTTGACAATTTAATTAACTTACACTGATTTCTAAAAAGGAAGGGAGCTCTAGTATTTGAGATTTTATTAAAAAACACACTTAATTACCTCGAATTTGCATCAAAATGTGGTGCTTTTCAGTAAGATTATGCAATGTTAGTCTTATGTTTTACTTTTTTGGGGGGGTTTGCAAGTATGCTTTGATCACCAGCATTTGCGTCTAAAGAGGTCACATACTGAAGTGTGAACATGTGAACAATCCTTTAATTTGGAGTCAAGAGGAGTTCACGGGGCAGTGTAAATTCATTCAAATAGTTTAACGGGAATTTAAATCATTGCCTCCCATGTGGTTTTTCTACCTGATCACTGAGCCCACAACTCTAAAGCTAAAGCTGGCAGGAAAGAATAAAGCTCCTATATGTTGAAAACTGTAGTGGGTGAGAAAAAAAATCAGAGGGGGGGGGGAGTGAAGTCGGATTGGGTGTGGGGGGGCAGACAGACAGGGAGAGGGGAGCCTGCGACAGTGAGATCTCAATAGTGAGAGGCCTTCTTTGTGTTTCTATGTAAGGTTTATTTTGGGGGGCGCAGGGGGCACGAAGAAAGGAGGGGAAGAGAAGAGGGTGGGGATCCTATCCTGGGCCCTCAGACAAGCGGCACATTGTCCTCCCCAATGTGTGGCGGCACTTGTGGCGTAACGCCATTATTTAGGCCAGTGGAGGGAACGGGGGTCTGGAGACCAGCTTAACCAAAACGCCAATTAGAGCCGGATCGTCCTGATTAATGGACGAGGGAGATTGGTAAACAATGCCGGCCATTGTTACCGTAACCCCCCCTCCTACAAACCCATACCCTTTTGGTTTCTTTCACACAGCAAACCCTCCATCCCCATTGCCTCTGACACACACACACACACACATGTATACTGCGCCTGCCATGCCAGCGCTCAAAGGGCCATTAGCATGCTGTTCTTGTTTGTTTGTTTGTTTCAGCCTCAATGTAAAGTTTGGCTTGATCATCACATCATACACAAGTATTAACCTTGCCGTGCATTTGTTTAGATGCCGCTATCCAATAAGATGAAGAAGGGTCACCAAAGTTAACGATTAAATGA